CGGGGACTCGGGGAGGTGGGTGCAGGAGCTGGGCGGCTCGGGGGCGCAGGGGAGACCCGGCCCGAGAGCCGGCGGCGGGAGCCCTGGGTCGGAGTGGTTTTTTGCATTTGAAACGGTGGGTTTTCCTTTTTGCAGAGAAATGCTCCCGAAGAGAAGGCGTCTGTAGGACCCTGGTTATTGGCTCTCTTCATTTTTGTTGTCTGTGGTTCTGGTAAGTGTTTGGGGGCTACCGTCGGGCTGGGTGTTGGATCACGGGTTTGGGATGACGTGGTGACCCATTAGTGGTGAATCGTAACCTCGTAGTTCTCAGCTCACCTGCCGGGAGCTCCACATAATTCTATTTCATCTGAACCAATTTACGTGTCCCACATATGCACAGAGGGTGGTGCTCCAGAAACTTCTCCCAGCTTGATCTGTGCTCTCGGGGCATCAGGAAAGGAGGTCGTCAGGTCCTTGGTAATGATCAAGTTGGAAGAAATTTAGACCAAAACCGAAACATCTCATGGAAGGAGATAGGATGTTTTGCAATTCCATTATCAATACCTTAGCAAAAAAGAAACTTTTGAACATTTTGTACATACCGACGTTCGAACTTAATTTAAGATGCCCCAGAATATAACGTATTTATGTCAAAGCTGGGTATATTTTACAGGGTAAACTAGGGCAAAGAATTGATTCACTGTAAAGGAAACGTGGCAATTTAATATGTGACACATGTTTTTAGATTAATAAAAGAAACGTTTGACATATGGTAGAAAAATTCATTATCAGGGCAGCCAGCTGTTAGAGTTAAGAGTCTCTTGCTTCTGCAAATGAATTACCAAATGTCTTTCCTCTCTTCATTTATTATCTTATGTAAGCTGTTGGTACTGAAGGACATGTTTCTGTGTTTCAAGTCCTGACATCCTAAAGTATTGAGGTTTCTTTTAAACATTTCACTTTGCCTGTCTCCTCAACTTACCAATTAGAAGCTTCTTAATAAATGGCCAAGAGCCAAGCAATTTATATAACCTAAAGATTATTGAGTGTCAGCTTTGTGAGAATGAGGAAACATGCATATGTTATAGGCCAGGCCTTCAGAGGACACATAATATTTAGCGATAAACCAAATCTGTGCTTGAAAAACCTGTTTGCTTTGGTACTTTAAGTTCTTTCTAAAATGATTGCTTATTTTCAAACTCTCTTCAACATTTAGACATAAAACTCAGAGAAGCTGAGATTTTAAAAAATAACTTATGGACATTTAATTGTTTTATTAAGGTAGGTCTGTCTTCGTTTCTTATTACAATGAAGTTATATTGCATTTTCAAGTAACTGTTTACAGTACTCTTCGGCACAAACTACCTTAATAAATATTTGCCGCTTGCCAGACCTATTTTATTCAAAGCATGTTTTAATATTTGCTCTTTCTCTTTACAGCGATTTTCCAGATTATTCAAAGTATCAGGATGGGCATGTGAAGTGACTGACCTTAAGATGTTTCCATTCTCCTGTGAATTTTAACTTGAACTCATTCCCGATGTTTGATACCCTGGTTAAAAACAATTCAGTAAATCATCCTGCCTCAGAATGACTTTTCACATCATCATTCATGTGTCATTCCAAGGTTTCTTCACGAGTCATTCCAAGTTTTCTAGTCCATACCACAGTGCCTTGCAAAAGCACCACATGAGTAAAGCAATAAAATTTGATTGTTAAGCTACAGTAGTGGACCCTACTTATTCAGTCATTTAAGAGTAAGTTTTTTAATGTGGTTATTAAATAGTATACAGTATAAATATTAGATTAAGTCTGTGTAGACAGGGTCTAGATTTTGTTAACCCTAATGTGTACATGCAATTAGCTTAATTTAAAATTTGAAAACTTACGTTTTTTTATATAGCTAGGCACTTACTATAATATCTTGAATTGAAAGCACACTCCCATATAGGGTCATGTACCTGTCCTGTAATAAGGTGCTTATAAATGGAACGACTATACAGTTAGCCTAGTTTTCCCACAATCTCTAGCACCTAGGAAATTTTAAAAGCTTCCAAATGCCTGATGTAAAGGGAGATGCTTATAGCCACGTTTATTTTAACAACATTATTTCTGTTACACTACCTTGGATTTTGCATGAGTGAATATACTAACCTAAGATGCCGTAAGAAAATAACTTGGTTGAGCATCTTGTAACTTTATCAGTCACTTCAGTTTTACTAAAAGCTATCATGGTGGAGTAAAGTCAGGGAAAATTTGTTTATGTCACCAGTGATTTCACCAGAATTACTTTCATGGATCAAAGGGGTCTACTATGGTAGACAACGTCTTGGGGGAAATACTACTAAAAATGGATGCCTCATTAGGACATACTGTTGAGCCCAATGTGCCATAAAACATCTTAGCATGTTACTAGCACTTTTACCACCAAAAAGGCACATCAACTAAAAAGTTACACTTAGTTTGAAAATGCTTTTTCTGGATTTATCATTAAAATTTTGTTAGGGTTCTAGATACATCAGACCTTTATGTCACTTGGAATTAAATGGATTTACTGATAAGGGAACAGTCTTTAGTCTTCCCTTTGTTGTATGATTTTATAGGTTATGATCAGACTTTCTTTGTACTAATGGTAAGGGTGAGAGAGAAAGCAGATTTGGGGTTTTTCTGGTACTGTTAAAAACTGAAAGCATTGGCTATTTAAATACTTAGCCATAACTTAATGAAAAAAAGCCTGAGAGATGTCTATGTATTAATTGGAAAGAAAGCTGCTTGTTTGCTTTGTTAATTGCCTCAGGATATTTCTTTTAAAAATAAGCTGTTTTAAGAGGAACAGAAGGGAAATCTGCTACCTAGTCTATACACAGTGTGAACCTCAGAGAGAGCTTCTGATACCCCCAAAGAAGGGGGAAAAGTGAGGGAGAGGAGTGGTTAAGGACTGTCAGGAATTTGACTACTCTAGAATAGGAAAAGATTCAGCTGACCTGGGGCCAGCAGGTTTTATCGTCATTGTTACCTGCCTTTCTCACCCAGGAAGTCAAACCCTATACTTGTTTCCCTCTTTGAAACAAGTGTCTTGGTTAACTAATTCTATTTTATTGTAACTTTAAAAATGAAAGTTATTGTTCTAAATTCATAGCAGGTGCCTTATTCTTTGCTTTGAGTCAAACCATTCCATATCAGAATTTCCCTTGGTGTACTATAGATAATTGACTTTAAGATGGTGGTGTTGTTTTTAATGTACAACGTCTATTAATTTGACTGTTAAAATTGCTATAGCTAGCAATCATTTTACATATGTAAAGTTGCATTCCCTTTGTATTTCTTGTGTAATTTTGCAATTGAGTGCATTTTATATTAAGGGTGGATTGTGCATGTTTGGGTCAATCAAAGCTATGTCTTATTTGATTTGTTCTTTAAAAATAAAGTTCCCTGAATATTTGATGTCTTCTCAAAGAAAATGATTTTGCAGAGTTCTTATCTGAGTGCACTTTTCACAGCTAATAGGAAATGATTTTAAAGACTGCCTCGTATTATGTTGTATTTGAGATAAAAGAAATAGTACCCAGATGCACAGATTTAAGGTTTATAACTGGGAGTAGGTAGCAGGAAAAACATAGAAAAGCACAATGAATTAAATGCTTCCCCACCTGCAGTTTACGATCATCTCATTCTTACCCAAGTTGTTCAAGGACAAAGCACAGTTCTTTTGATCTCCCTCTCTCAATTGAATTTTATATATCATCTAATATTGAGCACAGTGTGAGAATGTTTTGTTGCAGTTGTCTACATTATCCAGTTACTCTTTGTAATTTAGCTACATTTCAAAGACTTGTCACAGATTTCATTATATCTGTTGGGTTGTATGTAATGTTGCTCAAAATAATTGGGTGGGCTTCCAGAATAAGTAAAAGATTTTCGTTGTAACAGGATGCATTGTAATAGATTTTGACTTACATTAAAGAAATAGATATACTCAACTGCAGGACCATGGCTCTTCTCACAGAGGCTACTGGAGTTTTGTTGGTACAAAGGACTACCATGTAGTGCTGGGTTATGTTCTTGGGAGGCTCAACAAAATTGTGCTTTAGCATCTGTAAAATTTAGATCATCATGTTTTATATTTTTTATATTTATAAATTGTTCTGAAGTTTGATTTGTCTTTACCTACCTTTTTAGTTAGTTGTGTTTTTTTTTTTAACTTGTTTTAGACACAAAACACAAGCGGTAGGAGTTGGGTTCAAGAACACATTCTACATCACTGCATCAGAATCCTTGCTTGTCTAAACATAGTCCTACTTTAGCTGCTTGTACTGCTTTATCTTTAAGTTGAAGTAAGACAAAAATGTCCTAATTTGGAAAAAGTACTAGTATGCAGTAAGAGGCTATAATGTAAGCTGAAGGGGAAAATTCAGCTGTCTGGACTTAGATAATTAAAAGTAAGTTCATATGTATTAGAATCCAAGATGGAAAGGACATGGGAAATTTTGTCCAACTGCCTCACTTTACAGATAAAAAAACTCATTCAGTGAATATTGAGTAACTTACGTGCTGGATAGAGAAAGTAAGCTGTGAATACAGAGTCCTGGCACTCAGGTATCTCAGGGAGGGAAAGGACAATAATAACCATAATTGTGGTATTTCAAAGGAAAGGTGAAGTGAGATAAATGGTGTCTTTGCCCTCCCAGAGCTAGTCGAGGTAGAACAGAAACTGGAAACAAGGTTTTCTGACTACCCTGCAGAACCTAGGAATGGCTGTGAAACCCACACAGAACACTTCTTACAAAGGACTACCATGTTTTCATGACTCTTTGCTTCTGTTTTTAGAAAAGCTCTTAATTTTTTTTTCATGTTGCTAATTCAAAGGGGAAAAAAAAAAAAGGGACTTGTCCCTTTATGGATACAATTTCTTTTGAAAATGAGTTGGTGACAAATTTAGTATTGGTGTTTCCTGTACATCACAAAAATACAAAGATCGAATCAGTATTGTTATCCACTGTAACATTCAAGAGTACACTTTTTAAAAAGTATTTTGCTATAATTTTACTGTATTTTGCTTTAAAAATTTTCATCTGTGATTTTGAAAAATGATTCTTATTTGACAATTCAGTAGTCAAAAAATGCCTTCATCTGCCCTCCATAGATGCTTTTTATGACAAAGTTTTAGAGAATAAGTCATGTATGACTTCTTTTCCAGCATGCAAATGTCTGCTTTGCAGTGCAGCTAGAATTAGAACAAATCTGCAAATTTAAGTAATTAAAACTGATTTCAATGTCATTAAATAGGGTATAACAGGTTTTTCTTTTCTCACTGTGATGGAGAAAGTCAAACAGGAGAATGAGCTAGAAGGAACTTTAGGAATGATCTTGATTAACCCTTTTATTTATAGTCAAAGACATTGTGGCCTAGAGGTTGTCTTTCCCATCATCAATGAGCCTGCAGCAGAGCAAGGATGAGAAAGTTGGTTTTGTGATGACCAACCTGGCCCTTTTAGTGTTCTGAGTGCCCGGGGATTATGATTGTGTAGGAATGTCTCCTTTTACTTTAGGAGATTAACCTCAGGAACCCCCATGAGTGTTCCACTAAGGTAAATCTGAAGATATACTAAACTTCAGTGTGTTCCCACTGCCCCTGGGGTGGAAACAATGCTTTAGCTTTGATTTTCTGGACTCTTTGCAACGTGGCAACAACCTACCTTTCCAGCCTGTTCCCACAGCCTCCCTCCATAGGCATGGTCTAGTCCAAGAGCCCCTTTCACTTTCAGATACCTTGAGCTTTAAGTGTTAATGTTCATTTCCACTTCATTACCACACTACCCATCTGTCAGAGTCCAGCTTAAATTTCACCTCCTCTGTGAAGTTTTCTCTTGCCATCAGGAACACTCTCTTTGGGATTTATGACTGGACCAGTTAGCGTTTATTACATTGCCATATTTATTAGTTTTATTTTTTTTTTACTAGTTTTATTTCTTAGTTTCTCAGTCAGAGTATGGAGTCCTTAAGAACTAATGCCATATCTTTCTGTTTCCCTTTATATATATATATATATATATATATATATATATATATATATATATATATATA